TGTTAAACCAACGTAAGTGACGTGTATTTTTGTGTAAAACAGTTTTCGTTTCTTTATTTTTACTTGGTGAAATAAAAAATTCCGCGACATTGTTCTGTGTCTGGGCCTTGTAGCAGCAATTATATACTCTGTTTTTTTTCTCAGGTAAGATTTCGACAGACGATGACAGAAGAAAAGCAGATGACGTCCCATGCCAATCTATTTATTTTACTAAAAAAAGTTTCTAATAATTTTTAAGTTATCTATGGATGGGTTTAAATATAAATCCGTCATGCGTCGTGTCTTGTTGTTTTTAACCAGTTTTATTGGTTTATTTAAAAAATGACAGATCGTATTTCAATTTTATTGGTTTGACGGAACGATGAACGATAAACGGACGCCGATGCGTATGAACTCGCCTTTAGATTTTTGTCATTTTTGACGCTTGTCAAAGTCTTGCCAAATTATAGGTTATAATTTTGTGTCAACTTTTGTTAAATACCCTGTGTTTTGGAAGATGATGCATTTGATTCGTATTATTACGTGTGTTTTGTGTCTTTTGAAGTCAAGTGGAGGAAAAATCGAGTGAAAATTAACTGTAGACCCAAAGCACAGTTTATGGTTAATACTCGCTACCCAGGCAGAAAGTCTTATACACCAATGAAGTTGCCATCGTTAAAGTTTGTATACCATTTCGTCGTAGATAAGTGCATCTTGTATATGGTAGAAGGATCAAACTAAACACATACTAAAAACTGGATTAGCTATAAAATATCGACATCACACGATAGGTAAATAATGGATTTTACTACTGCAGAAAAATAATGCCAAAAGGTACTGGTTCAAAAAAAAATTAAGATTAAAGTTAATTAATCAACCTTTAAGGTATAAAATTTGGTAGGTGTTATTATTAATAAAATAGTTTGTTTTATTTACCTATGTTGTTTTATTTATCCCTGTGGAATATTACAAATTTGTATTGGTACATAAGTTATATTGATAAATATAATCATAAATGCGGGTAGTTTCATAAAGCTTGAAAGTAAAAATAGTTCTTTTTTATATTTTTTTGGTATGTAGTCTCTTGTTCTTGTTTGTTTTGTATTAACACATACCGGTTTTATTAAATAAAATAACTCGATTACATTTTTTCAGTTTTATACAGTTTTTTTCACAATATTTTGAAGTAATCACTTGTCATCTTGTCAATCAAATTTTAAATACCGTATGATCGAGAAAAAACGGCGTCAACGATGGCTATGAAATGAAGATCGCTGTCATTTTATATGAAAATTTATATGGGAAATGTCATTGATCGTCATTTCCCAGCCAACTGGACGCCGTTTTTTTCGATCATACGGTATTTCCTGCTATGCGTTCCAGTTGTACCAACTTATTTCTTTGTAAAATAAAATAAACTACTTTGAAATTAAAATGACAGACACATCTATCACTGTCAAGGATCTTCTCGTTGGACAGACTATAATAAGTCCTCAGGATCTGTCTACATTCTCTTTCCCAACAATATTAACTGTAACTAGGTCACGTCCAAAACCTACAGAACATGCTGTGCCTACAATTTTTCCAAATCAACCCTCTTATGGACCCTCTGTGCATGTTCCGATAAAGAGAAAACGTCCCGATGAAAGAAAACAAGATTTGGCCAATTCAGGATGAAATAAATATTGAAAAGTATTATTATTATTATGAAATATATATTATTATTATGAAATGGCAATATATTTTAAAGAAATTAAATGAATTTGTACTTTATTTCAGTATTTTATATAAAAAAATGATATCTTTATCTTTTTATTTACAATTTATGGAGATGGTTACTTGATGAACATCGAACTACAAATTACTTAATGTTAATAGTTAATTCTATCTAATATCCACATTTTTTAAATATGTTAGGCAAATTTTTACAATTATTTTTAATTAAACTTTAAAATGTATTCTGCCGTTATCATATACAATACATTTTCTTAACTTGTCGATAAACGTATAGTTTTCAATTTTTTTAATATTTGGAAACTTTTTATCACAGGTATATTATTACTAGTTGCGAAATACTCGCTAACGCAATTTTAGGACACGCTTTTTATTATCTAGATTTTATTTTGTTCATCTTATGTTGTAGTTTATTTCATATTAATATTCGTGCTTTAGATCTAAATTTTAATGCTATTCAATTACTTTAACGCGATAAAAAGTTAATGTTATTTTTTAATACCTTTCTGTATAATATTTTTCATATTTATATCTGGCAAAACTATCAATAAATACTATTATTTATGCAAAAACTATATGCAGTACCATATGGCACAATACAAAAGCCCGACTAGTGCGGTGACGTCACAAATCGATGTCTCTGGCCTGTATGTCATGTTGGTTATGCCTCATCCTATCCTCGCTGTTAAAGTATCATAATCTACCTTTGCGGTTAAATTTCTATTTTATATCTATTATTTTTGATAGATATAAGGCAATTTTAACAGTTGCTATGGAATAAAAAGATTTTTAAAGGAAAATTAGGCATTTTTATGTTAGAATAAAAACACTTGATTCAAAATTGTGTTATAGTATGCTCAAACCCAAGTGGATGTGCAACAATCCCTAGAATGGTGGAGAATATTTTAATTTTAATTATAAATTTCCTAAAAGAAACAAATTGTATCTAATTTCAGAATGTGATTAATTCGAGGTTAATTCACTATATTTCGTCAAGGAAATAAGACTTCTATAGTAATTTAAAATACGAGTCTTTGTTATTTCCACATTAGGTATGTATACTTTCCACATAATTACAATTTCTAGCAAACTCTTAATTATTTATACCTGAAATTACACCAGAGTGATTCAAGCTTTGTTACCAGTTTTTGAAGGTTGAATGAGAATATCCTTTTATCTAACTATATCGTTACAAGCAGATTTTACTAAACGATTGGTATAAATAAGGAATAGTTTAACAACAATATAATTAATCAATCGCACAAAAAACAGTTGTTTTAAATATTTCTAATTTTGTTTAGAACCCAGATGAAAGGTACTGAAAAAAAATTCTTATTTTCAAATTTGGTTAATTTTGTTTCCAATATCATCTTGATAAAATCTTATACCATACTATCGAAAAAAAAACTGGCGTCTAAGACGGCTTTGAAATACGAACTCTTACTCTTCTTTATTTTTTAATGGAGGTTAATATTTGTGTATCTTTAAACGTTCTATCCTTTTTTAATTGTTCTATAATTAGTGTTAATTTTTGGGCATTTTTTATGGCAATTTTTAGCAAATGGCGTCTAGAAACAGACCTCGACAAAATTATCATCAATTGTCATTATCCAGCCGTCTTTGAATTTACTTTTTTTCGATCATACGTTATTAACCTTTGCAGAAAAAATAAAGATTATAAAATAAACAAGATTCTGTTTTTTTAAAGATGTTTCAAAATTCTAAATAGCGAATTATTTTTTTTATGAGTGTCTTTTTTGAAGCTAATCATAAGTAATAAAATAGACTAGATAGTTTCCATATTTTGTATCATGAATCGACATAGCTTTAATTCAACTTGATGGTTTGTTAAATATTTTCTATTCCCAAAATCGATATTTGTAACTAATAAACTATTAAATAACTGAAATAAAAAAAGCATTCGATGATCATAAATCCAACTTAAGCTTTAATCCAACTTTGGAAGTTTGTTAAGCATCTTCGATACTCAAAATCGATATGTGTCCAGTAATTATTGGATTTTAAAAAATTATATCTATTTATAGGACTAAAAACTAAAACTAAAAAAACAAACATTGGATGATCATAAATCAACACAGTTTTAATCCAATTTTATAGTTTCTTAAGTATTTTCTATTCCCACAATCGATATTTGTTTAGTATTTATTGGATTTGAAAATGATATTTCTATAAGTATACTAAAAATTAAAAAAAAACATTCGATGTTATACCGGGTGGTGCATCGTCGTTGGAAACAAAACAAATCCCATACAAATTTTGAACAGTTGAAATATTGATCTATGACGTTTTTTCTTTCACAAATTTTTTTTTGAAAATTGTATTTTTTTTAGTTTTTACTTAAAAATAGTAAATTGTTTTCTTTTTTATTAAGGGTAAAAATTACACCTTTCGCCGCGAGGCTGTATGTTTGACATATACAACCTATATAGGCACAAAAGTCATTTTTACTCTGAATAGAACATGCTATTTTCTTTCAAACCCCACAAATAAGTTTTTAAATAATTTGAAACGCTCCAAATAATATAAAAATGTTTAAAAGTCATATACCTTGTAATTATACAGGGTGTCCCAGAAATGAGTGCAAGTATTTTAACTGGTAGTATAGTTCAACCCCAAGAACACGCCTATGAGGTTTTTTTCACAAAAAAAAAATTGAAAATTCGAATTTTTTTTTAGTTTTTAGTTAAAAAACATAATTTCTTGATAATATGGCAGCATAGGTAGTAGATTAAATTTACAAGAAAGAAAATCCAGAAAAGATCCAGCTGTTATCAAAATGTTAGCCAAAAAATATTTTTTTTGGAAATTTTCAAAATAAAATAACTCCGTTATTTTGGACTTATTTGAAAAACGATTAAGAGAAAATATGTTTCTGCTATCAAGATCTACCATCCCTTAAAATACTTGCACTTATTTCTGGGACACCCTGTATATCGAGAAACTATGGTTACGCTCGTTGAATTTGACACTTTATGTCAGTTTAATAATGTATTTTCGTACTTTGACTTTTTTATATTGTCAATCATATCACAAAAAACAATACTTTTGTGACGTTTGAAAAAAAAACATAATTTCTTAATAACATATAGGTAGTAATTTAAGTTAAGGAAAACTCCAGTGAAAAGATCCAGTGGTTCTCAAAATTTAAACAAAAAATCATTTTTTTGGAAATTTTCAAAGTAAAATAACTCAGTTATTTTGGACTTATTTGAAAAACGGTAAAGAGAAAATTCTACAAAAAAAAACTAAAGCAATTCTCCACTAACCTCGATTCTCCATATCTCCAGGCCGGGGTTCTTGCCGGCATTGGCGAAAGCCGGTTCCATGCTGACTTGTCGCTGGGGGGAACGCTGTCGGGCAACTGTCGAAGCCGCCGAGGTCTCCATCATCAGGTGGGCCGCGGCGACGAGGAACAGCAGCGTGAAAGCGCCGAGACGCATGGGGGACGCTTGGCGTCGCTGGACGACGAAGGCCATCATCGTGACTTGGGGGTGAAAAAAAAAACAATATATTAAGCCTATACGGGGTAAGGTTACCAGATGAAAACTTGCCCACCCCGGACAAGTCTTCCCAAAAATCCGGATAAAACCGAACTAAAGCATTTTAAGCAAGTTAATTTTTTTAGGACGTAATTTTTTTAGCGAAGTAGCATAAAATGTTAAAAGCATAGATAAATGAAACAAGTTTAGATTGGAAAGTGCCCGTAAGTAAGGACAATGTAAACACTATTTGGCGCTATTCTTGCAGCGGTCGCTCCCCAAAGCTTTTGATAATTTCGGAGCTATTCGGCTTTTTCCGGAATTATGTCGCCAAATATTATTTATTCAAACTTATTATTATTTTCTTTTACCTTTATAAATAAAATACAGTGTGTTATATACAAGAAACTTTATTTTATATAAGGACATGTAAAAAACGAAAATTTAACAATAACTTGACAGTCGGCGATCCGTATTCTTCAATTTCGGCGGGTAATACAAATACGATGTTTGTCCTTTTCTATTCGTGCATATCGGACAAGGACGTACATTATTTTATCCGTAATGATAGTGATCAGGTATATAAAAAGAAAAAAATAATCGTACGATATAATCAATATAATGGACTTACGTTTTTGACACAAAATTTCCATTTCATTTGATAAACATGGATAAGAGAGAGAATGACAATCTGTGACGAAAGTTCCAAAGTTCACGAATTGATATATACATTTATATCCAAAAGTATATAAAAAATTAACAAATGCTTTTTAATACGTGTTCTACAAATCTGGTGCTTTATTTTATAGATATTATTTACCACCACAAATGGATTTTTAAATAGAATTACTTTAAAAAAGTACGTGTACATTATAATTATGTAGTATAGGATTTTAACGTGTAAGACAGTGATGTAGGCAGCTTTAATGGCAAATCACATGTATTAAAAAGAGAAAAAGTTGGGTGGGTTTTAATGGGTACATTTTTCTGAGCGGTATTGCAGATTTTGCATCAAAATTTCAAACCGTATGAGTAGAGGTTTCAATAAAAACTGAGTATCTAGGGTTGGATCTGGATTTTCGGTATTTTTTTTCAATTAGTTACTCATTTTACTACAACTGTAATAGATTACATCTTAGCTTAGATATATTATCTTCATTTCAGTAGTATACATGAACACATTTTTAACATAGTTTATTTTATTCTAATTTCTTTAAGACTACGATAATATACTGGCTGGCAAGAGAAAATCTTGGGTCGTTTATTTTAGCTTCACACATTTACCTACATGTCTAGAAGTGAATCGCTATGGCAATCTTGTAAGTCGGGGAGAGAAAATTATTACCTATCTAATCAATATATCGGATAAATTTAACATAGTTTATTTCTTATCTCTAATCTTCTATTAAGACTACGATAATATACTTAATAAGAGAAAATCTTGGGTCGTTTATTTTAGTCATCATTTACCTATCCAACTTTAATCCAGAGCCTCAACTTCATACCTGCTGGGAAAATTCTTGCTCTTTTCTCTTTGTTCATTTATACAATCACAGAGTTTATAGACTCTGGATATACGACAATCGGCACCATAAGTCGTGTGTACATTATCGGTTATATCATTAAATAAACTAAATTTAAAAAATGCGTGCCATAATTACGTAGTTTAAAGTAGTGCAAATTCTGTTGTCGGTCATTATTCTACCTAGTTTAAAAACGCTGGAGCTAAGTGTGTGAAGTGAGACATTAAATGATTGATCTTTTGTTAAATTACGTGGTATAACTCAACACAATGATGAATCGTTTAATGTTTCGATATGCACCTCCATAATTATTTAATTGTAATCATATTGTCAGATTTAGCCTGACAACAGAATTTGGTTAATTTTTAGTATTGTTTTGATCATTTTTTGAAATATCTGTCTTATTATGCAACAGGGATGTACGTGTCTACGTAATAGAGCATCAGCATCTCTCTCAATATATCGTATTGTACTGAACACGTTGACACACGAGAATGTGTACGCTTTCATTAAATAAACTAACCAAAAAATATGCTCTATTACGTAGTTACGTACATCCTCAGTTACATAATAGACCGATAATCAATTAATTACATAATGCTGTAAATATCAAAATATCTCCTATTGTCAATCGATCTGATTAAGTGGATAGGTAAATAAACTTCTCTATTTTTTTCTCTCCCGTATTATAGATCTTTCCTCATTCAGTATATCGTATTGTACTGGAATAAGGTTGACTTTATTTCTTCACATAGGACACCGGCATACAAAGCCGTACGTTGTACGTTTTATTAAATAAATGAACTTTTGTTTATTTATTGATTCGTTTATGCTTCGTCTTATATATTTTGTTAAGTTATACCACACCAAGTGCTATAAACTATGTACAAAATTAAAATGCATAGTCAATTTTAAGTAAAGTTGTTGAAATATATCTATATTACTATTATGAAACATCCTACTCTATCGATTTTTAATTTGGAATTATATTAATTGCCATGTGTCATCGTTTTATTATTATTGTCAATTTTCTGCGGATAGCTGATAAATTAATCTATTGTCAATTCAATATGATTATAATATGATGTCTAAATACCATTTTGTTATTCATAAAACGGCCTTTTATTAATACTGTCATAATGATCCATCAATAAATATTTCTTACGTGTTGCAGCAGACGAGCAAAATTTATTAATTTTAGGGTCCTTTATATTTACTCATCCCTGATTCCATCCAACTATGGCCGCTGATGAAGCGGGACGTAGACGTTCGCTTTCGGTCATAGGCGTATCACTGAAAAACTAAAAATTTCCTTATCCTCGTTCAGAATTATAAATAGCAATAAAAGGATAAAGATAAGTAAACTCTTATACTTGATAAGTTTGCTGTACCATTAATAAAAAAATTGGTAGTAGGAAATATTATTTCATAATATTAGGACATGATAATGTGCATAAATGTACATACTCATAAAGCAAAGTAAAAGATTTGAAGTTAACGTTTTTTGCTGCCAGGGCTAATTTGACTTGTTTAAGATACTTTGTTTAAGCGGAATCCGAAATAGCGGTCCTCGGTCAGTACTTAGCAAGTGTCTAAATCGACTCTTACTCACGAGATATCCGATCCCATCCGGCCTGCGAACCGGCGGAATGAGCAGCTCAGAATCAATATATTTTACACTTTTTTCCTTTAATGGACAACAGCAACGATACAGAGTTTCGAACTGGTCACCCGTTTATCTAACTACGATTATCGCCTTACGTCGCTTTAAAACACTAGTGTTCTAATGGGGCAACCGGTGTTTCCACGTAGCTGGACCGTTGGTTGCCCGTAATATTATAGCTACAACCGTTATAACACTAGTTATACCACCCCGCATAAATTCAGTATTATTATAAATAAGTAATTTATTTCACACACCTTAAAGAGTAGCACAATTAGAATCATAAATACGATGCCACTTAACAAAGTTATATAATGTTTATAATGTTAATTTTAAAGGTCGTTTTACATAAAAAATTGTTTATCTGTTTTATTTATGATACAAAACCCGCTTGATCATAAAACTTTTGATCATGTTAGTCCATCCAACATTTTGGCCAGATTATAGAGCAGCACTTCAATATATATTTTAAAAAATAATGTTTTTTGTATTGCACAATTTATTGATTTATAATTTAACTAGAATATAAAGAATAAAAATACCTGCATTTATTTAAAGGGACATTCATTGTTAAATATTGAAACACTTCTTTTATTTTTGATTTGTTAAACTGTAACTTTGTTACAATGAATAAACTTAACATGCATTTATTCGATAGAGTTTTTTTTATTATTGAGTATGTATGGGGCTTAAGAAGCAGCGTGGTGAAGGCGTTTGTTCCACTTGTTCGCATCTTAAACATTGTCAGCTGCCATAAAAATGATTATTAAAATTCTAATAAATTAAATTTTACAGAATTCATAAGTCTAAAATTTTAAACTAAAATTGGCTGTAATACCCTATTTCAAAATGAAATAAAATATTAGTAATGCCACATGACTCAAGAGTTTAGAACTTGTTTGGTTTGGTGGCGACACGTGCGAAGAGATATGCATGGCTTCCTAAGCATTTCGAGAGGCGGGTGAGACCAATCAGCTAAGACAAATCAAGTGGTGGGGAAAGAATATGGCCGTAGATGCCAGGTCTAGGGAAATATTCTCCTAACATTAAGGAAGGAAATACATTTTTAGAAAGCATATTTTTGGACACAATTTAGTGTGCATTTAATTTGTTTTCAAACTTGGCATTTCTAAAAGTATCATCAGATAAATATTTTAAAAAGAATATTTTTGTTGGTAGATTAACATGCCCAACCAGCCTTCACAGGAAATTTTCAAAACTTCATCTGGCAAACACTGACATGTATCGAAGTCCTATAGAACGGTAGAAATTTATTTTTTTTGAAGGTAATACTCTTCTTTTTGTTTAATTGTTGTATTAGGAATAGTTCAACGTCCATTTCTTGTTGACAGGCTCTTTTTAATTTCTTTTTGGAGTATAATTACTCCAGTCTCTTTTTTTAATTCCAGTTTCCATCTATAAATACATTGTAAGTATGCACAATTATGAAAAATAATTATATAAAATTAAATCAAAGGTCCAAAATAATGTGAAGCTAGTTGTAGCTTCTGTAGCCAGACGGTTATAAACTCTGACCTAACTTTAGCTAACATAAATAATGGGATATTTTTAATAAATGAATGAACGATTTTAATCGCAGCTCGTCAATATTCATAATCGTTCATGGTTATGGCCATAAATGGAATATTTTAGCATATCCCCACAGAAAGAAGTCATTATCTCCTAATCAGGAGAACGTGGTGGCCAATTAATTGTGCCTTGTGTGAAATTAGCCGATTGAAGAAAATGGTTCTGAAGGAACAGATTTGCACGTTCGAAAGCGTTATGCGCAGGACAGCCATCCTTTGCTTGAAAACCACACTTCCTCAAAATTGATTGGCAAATTTCGAACTGCTGGTAACAATTTGGTTTTGTAGCATATCCAAATATTTGCAGCTGTTAACATACCATCAATAAAAAAAAGGCCCAATGATATGATTTTGCAGCATGCCAGCCCAAACATTTAGCGTCTTTTGTGGATATTGTGTCCGCAGTGCCATACTAATGGTGCTTACTTTTCTCGAGACTCAATAACGTACTATCGAAGGATTGTGGTAGCCATGTAAGGGAAACGAGCTTTCATCTGAGAATCAATATATTTTCCAAAAAATAAATTATTCCGATCGGCTCTTTTTCTCTTTACAGCCTCGCAAAACCTGGTGACGTCTGTTAAGCAATCTGCGGGAAAAGAAGAGGGATAGCTGTATCACTTCAATTTCAACTTCAACTAAAAAAAACTAAATAAGTAATAAGAAAATGTAATTGTTATAATACTTACTTGTAATAATTCTATAGATTCCAAAATGTTTCCGATCATTATTTATACCTTCATTCTCAATGAGAGGCGCTGTTACAAACGTTCTGTAAAATATCTGCGTGGTACCGATTTTGTAGGACTTATATCCATGCTTTTTAAAACCTATGCGCACCGTTCTCGAGCATTGGTGTAACCAACTTGTTCGGCTATATTTCGGCTTCTGAACAAGGTTCGCTTGTTTTCAGACCGCGGCACAAATATTAATTTCCTTGTCGGGAATCACCTTCTTTCATTAGCTTCCTTATTGTCACAATTTCTGCACGCCCGTCAATGCAGCCTGTTTGCTCAAATTCCCTATGGACAATGTTGCGTACAGTTGTGGTACAAGGCTGGGGGCTGCTATGATCTTGAAAGGTGAACACAAAAACGCCCAATGACCTCTTCCACACTTGACGAAATGTAAAACCACTTAACGATATGCACCTCCTCGGTCGTATAAATAGCCATTTTGAAACACTTTAACCTACATACCTAGGGAAACAGCTAGGCGAAAGAATGATGCAAACATAGTTTGATCTCAGGTGATCTATTTCCTTTCCCCACCCTTTTCATCTACATAAAGGTGCGCGTATTTACTTATCCGAACGAACGCTACTATCCAACGAGCGAACGTCCAGTCTTGTTCGCGCGGTTCTATAATTTTCATTCGTTTGCAAACGGCTCTGATATACCGACTGGAAAACGAATGATGGAGGTGAACCGGTCGGCGAACGGCCGCATGCATTCGGTTTGGTTACAAGGTCCAAATATACCGAATTTCATTCTCTTGTTCTTTCGGATAGAATACGAACTCCAACATAAAGCACCGCCCCTCCTCAATGCGTTCTCCCACCATGCTTTATGCTTTTGCACTTTGCCCACACCCGTAAAACCGGCAACACTGTGGAGTTGGTCGCACTGGCCTCGCCGGCCCCTTTGATGCTATCTCTTCATCTGTTCGTCAACCGGTCATTTATATTATTCTCTGTCTCTTACACGTTAAAACTCCTATACACAATAATCTATATGACCATACTTTGGTATATATATGTGAAACATTGCAAAGTCGACGTTATGCCACGATCCACGATTTAATTTCGCAGTTCACAGTTCACAACACAGTTTTTTGTTGTTTTTAATGCCCTTTTCATTTTAATTATCACGGGTTTGAGTAAGTAAAATTTAAATTAAAACTCAAGGTAGCAATAATTACTTTGAGAAATGGACGCTTTAAACACTTTTCGGTATTTTTTTCAATGAAACGATCTAACCTTGAAAGATTTTATAATTTTGAGTAGATTCTGACCATAGATAAAGTGAGTACCAATCTTCTATTAAGATAGATATGAAACTTAATAGTAAAATTTTGGGCCAAAGCGCCCCCTCCGTGATTAGTAGAAGACTACGTTAACCCAAAGCCTTCGCCTTCCTGCTTAAAAATATTTTTTATGTTTATATTTGAATTCAAAGGATTTATTTTTAAAGTTGCACTGATATATTAGTATATCAGAGTAACTTTAATAAAACATAAGAATATATATATTTTACAGTTTTTAAAAATAAATTTTGACTACAAGGTAGAAAGTAAATCACAATATTTGATTATGTGAGGGGCTGAGTTCCAAAACTAGTTTTATCCAAATTTGTTAATTTTCAATAATCGCAAAAAACGAACAGCAACTTAATTAGTCAATATTTATCAACAATACTTTGTCATTTGCTAATTTAAGCATTACTTAGATATTTTACAAAAGGAAAAATAAATTTATGCATAATTGCACTTTTTACTAAAAAAATAAAATTGGATAAGAACATTTTTGTTGCAAATTAATGAATTAGGTCAGTTATGGAACAAAAAAGACGGGATAAAGAGAGTTTTGGAAATAAGATATATGCCGGATCAACTACTTTCTTAATAATAAAGTGGGTTAATTCTAAATGTAAATGTTTTATTGAACATACTATTATTGAAAGAAACGTGTTATTAACAAATTATTAGACAGTATCTTAAACAAATTAAAGTTGGTTAAATCATACGGTCAATTCATCACTTAATTCTGTTGGAATATCCTGAATTTCTTCCATTTCTTCTTGAATCTCGTCTTTGTCTGGTCTGGATAGAAGGTTCTTGTAGAAGTCCAATTCACTAAGCTCCATCCAATTTGGTCCAAAATGCTGTTTGAGAAGTTTATTGACATCTTCTAGTTTCTCCTTTTTTACCGGGACCTTCAGTGGAAGCAATTCAGGCTTAAAATGGAAATTTTTTCCTTTTTTGAGGAATGATTTAAAGACACCTAAATCACTTTTGTATGTTGTTTCCCCTTTAATTAAAATAGTGTTTTTATCTTTTATCAATTTTAATCTTTTTGCTGGCGCAAACTGGAAATGTAACTGACCAGGTGCTTTAATATTTTCAGCTACACATGTTTTAAAATCAAAAACAGGCACGTCTTTACCAAGTATTTTTACTTTTCCGTATTTAGAAAATATGTTTATATACTCCTGGGGATCAATTATTATGGTATCCTTCCTTTTAAGGTCTTTTTCTAATCTTTTTTGGTAGACCTTTTGATTTTCTCCTAAAAATATAAAAGTAAACCAATCAAGACCAAATTTTCTATAGTAATAGCCGTTAAAGTAATGTTAAGATTTCACAAAATAATAATACTCTGGAACAAAATAGTCTTTTCTCTGGTTATTAGGATTCGATCTGGTCTATTTCTTATCAATTATTATTAATTTCATGATTATATCACTTTAAAAATGAATTTAACACTAAATAAATATACCGGTTCTAATACATTCGATATAATACTCATCATTAATCAGTTACTATTATAAAAATTTAGGTATGAATGTTATATTAAAAAGGCCTCTAATTATCTCAGACACATTAACTTATACATACCTCTCAACCTTGGCTTTTTCTTTACTCCAGCTTTTATTTCTATTTTTCCGCCTGCCCTTTCCTTCATGTAACACGACCGTTTCATTGTTCATTTTGCTTAAGAAACTATTGAAAAATATATCGTTTAACACTAAACGTTTATAAAATATATCGTGCTTTGCCTGAAATTGCATCAATGACTAAAGAAAGCACTATTAAAATGAAGATAATTGGGCAAATCGTCACATGCATGATATGACAAGTTTTGCTACCAATATACGCGTGGATAAGATTAGTTTTGGAACAAATGCACGACTTTAACATGTAAATTATACAGGATAGAATGAGTTATGCCACAAAAATGATGCTGAATATTGTGCAGGGCTGCCAATACTAGACTATAGATACTTTTACTCAAAATTACCAAAAATGGATAAGACGAGTTTTGATACTCAACCCCTCATGTATACCATTTTTACAGTTAATAAATAATAAAATTATTTCTGACTATGATATTTAAAATTTAGATAGAAAATTAAAAAGCATACCGGTATTTGCAGACGCAGGCCCAAATTCAATAAAAACTAAAAACCAAAATTTTTCCTCCGAAAATCGGGCTTTTTTCACTGAAAAGGTATTTTTTGATTTATCAGCAATCATTGTCAAGTTGACAATATACAGGGTGTTTTCTAATTAGTCTAAAAAAATTGTGGTGTGATACCTCATGTGTTCTTAAAACAATTTTTATATAACCATTGAGTCTAAGGTACTTCATCTCTGATCTACAGGGTGTTAAAAATTAAAAAAATTGATTTTTTGCTTAACATAAATGGTACACTACTGCTTTTTTAAATAAAATATATTTTTTTCTAGACTGGCCATCCCTTTTCAACAAAATTGATCTTTTGAGTTTTTCTTGTTCATCAATTGGTTGTCGAGAAAAAAATAAATATACTTATTAAGAGCCCGCCTTTTTTCTAACGATTTTTTATTTTTTAGATTAATTAGAAAACACCCTGTATATGCTATGTATATCACAAGCAACCAAATAAACTAGTAACCTCTAAAAATTATTTTTCCCACCACTAGCGACATACCGTGTTTTTAGTAAGTACTAAATTATTTTATCAAAATTTCACCATATAAGTTTCCAGGCAATGATTCTGACTTTGGAAAGAGAAAATTATTTTTGTTATTGTTTGTGGTTGTTCTTAGCGACCGCTATAGCAGCGCCAGATCGCGTACAACGGTCGCCACCCAAAACAATTATATATTTTGACGGGCTTTCTTATCTAAATTTATTTCTCATTCAAAAATCAAAAGTTGTAGTCATTTCCAGTTAGACAGGAAGTGGCCAAAAATAATTGAATACTACGTCAATCAGTCCTAATTTATATCATATACTAACATACTAAATCTTTAGTATTCTAGTTCTAGGTTTTTTTTACCAGAAAAAATAAAAAATGTATATAAATTAACCACTCTTGAGAAACACCCGGTAGATTATGATCGTGGCCCTAGAAAAGTCGTAATACCTTCTCTATAATTAAATAATATCAGAGTGAAAATTCAATCGCAGTTTAGTATAAAATGCTTCAATAGACCACAAAATTACATTCGCAACAATATCGCAAATCGCAACTCCTAAAAATTCAAACTCGCAGATCGAAATCACAGTCATGGTAATTGAGAAAATTGCAAATTATGTGGCAAGTTCATTTCGCTCTCAAAAATTAGCCAAGGCTTGACATGATCCAAAAAATAAAATGCTCAGGAGACATAGTTCTGACAGTAAAATTATATTTTAGGAAAATTTACACACGAAATTATTCCATAGGGTATTTTAAAGTTGGGGTAGAAAAACAACCCCTCGATTAACCCTGTATAATAATCCAAATACTAAAGTTTATAAAAAACTGAGTTTACGAATTAAAGTTGATATGATTATATAAAGCTTGTTAAAAAAATCATGACAATATAGGTCTAAAAATAATATAACAAAAATATAACAAATTTAACCAAAAATTTTTTTTTTGGTTTTTTGCATCTGACTGTACCTATTAAGCAGTGGCGGATACAGAGGGGGGGCCATGGGTCCCGAGCACCCCCTAAGGTGTCTAAATTGGGTTAAATATTAGGCTTTTGGGTTAAAAATGGCGCCCTGAAAAGCATATTCTACATTACTTTTCATTTGGGCCCCCCTAAATTAAATTCCGGTATCCGCCCCTGCTATTAAGTCTATACGGGTGTTCCTTAATATGCTAATATTTAAAGGGGTAGAATGTATAGAATTGTAGGTCTATTGTGTCCACCTTTCTTGAGTTATAACTCATATTACGAAGTAGTTTCAATAAAATAAAACATTCTTTTAAATATTTTGCTTGTACTTGTCCTTTCAATGAGAACCAAACTGGGTAAAATTATTCTTATGAGGTTTACGAAAATCATGATTATACCGCAAAATAACTTTATTTAGAACTAAATTTAATAAAATAATTCACCATATTATTCATCCTGAGATCGCATAAAAGAAAATACCAACATGTTTATCGGAATTCACTATTCGGAACATCGACAAAATCAGACAAAAAAACCATATACCAACGACACACAACAACTCATTCCAGGGATTTCAGATTTTTTATTTTTTACTAATTATTATAGTATATACTTCTTTTGACTATCTGGCAACACAGGGCGAATAAGCTGAAAAAAATCGCCAGCGGTTCTCAAAATGTTGCCATTATTTCTTTAAATTATCAAAGTTAAATAACTCGGTTATTCTCAGTTTATTTTAAAAATGGTAAAGAAAAAATATATTTCTTTTGGCCAGATCTACCACCCCTTAAAATATCTGCACTTATTTCTGGTACACCCTGTATAATAATAGATTTTTCAAGCACTTTGCGTTCTGTTAATTTTCTTTCTTTCTTACATGTCACCCTTATTTCACTTACTAAAAACAAGATCTGTTAGTCTTTGCACCTCACCAACACACTCACAACTTAATTTATTTCCTTTTCGCGATAACTGGCCTCAGTTACAACACTGACCACCGGTGACCATCGAATGATCTCATAAACAAACACAAGGTGCTCTTATAGATTTGACCCAGAAGGTTAACACAACAACGACGGACGCTGTGTTGATAAATAAATGCTCGAAATCGTAGAAAATCATAATAATATTATAATCAAGACGGCCGAGTACGCTGATTCCAGTGGCGTGTATAGTGGGGGGCCAAAGGAAGTCAATGCTCGATGCGTCGGCTGAGAGCATGTGGTGGTGCATTCTCCACCGGTGCTGCCACCATCGGTGAATATCGTAAACAATCGGTATATGGTATATGTATACATACAAATATACGAATTTAAATAGCGAATATACGAAAAATAGATTATATAATTATTCTAAAAGTGTTTGGAAGTATAATTTGTGAAAATTCTAAAAATAAAAATTAAAAAGTAAATATTTTGATATCTTGAAAAGGTCTAACTTGTATTATAATTTATTATTCCAGTTAAAAAAACTTTTTAGATGAGTTAAAGGTTAAACTACAGTAGCTAGCATAGTTTTTATCACCGGTTTTGCTAGTGGGGGATAATTGTGGCTATTTCGGCTATAACGAAATTTTTTAAAGGTTATAATTATTACTTTAGAAGATGTTCATAAAACATTTAATCACTAGTTGATTAAAAAAAGTATACCATTAATATTGCAAATGATATTTTATCCTCTGATAGAATATGTCTATTTAATTTTTTTATTATGTAACGAGCAGTTTGTTCCCTCACTTGTTTCGTCTAGCTGCTTGAATCCATTTTTGCTTCAACATCGGAACTGCGTGAAATACCTACAGAGCCGAAAACTTGTGATTTCTGCCGTATCGAGCGCTGCAGTCGGAATTTTTAAAATCAACTGAAATGTACCAAGCTTATACAAGGTGTCCCAGAAATGCAAGTATTTTAACTTAACTGGTAGTATAGTCCAACCCCAGAAACACGCCTATGAGGTTTTTCCGCGAAATTTTTTTTTTGAAAATTCGGAATTTTTTGTAAAATATTTTGGATTTTTTTTTAGTTTTTAGTCAAAAAACATAATTTCTTCATAATATGGCAACATAGGTGCTAGATTAAATTTACAAGAAAGATAATCCAAAAAAAATCCAGTGGTTCTCAAAATTTTAGCAAAAAATATTTTTTTTTTTGGAAATTTTCAGTAAAATAACTCCGTTATTTTGGACTTATTTGAAAAACGATAAAGAGAAAATATGTTTCTTTTGTCGAGATCTACCACTCCTTAAAATATTTGCACTTTTTTCTGGGACACCCTGTATACCGACCGAAGACTCTACGTTGCCAACACGGTATGTTTAGGAAAAAGAAATTAATCAACAGTTATTTGTTTTATATTTATTTATATAATTTTTATTAACATCTCTAGATTTACTTATTTTTCAAAGACCCTACCTACCCTCTCACACAGTTAGTATACCCGCCACTGGTTTGTTCTAAGAACTGTTAAACGTTTGTTACATCATTTTTAGGAGAATTTCTCTTTTTTATTTTTGTTTGGCAAAACCTCATTTTGTGTTATTATTTACGTGACTATTTTTTTATTGTAATTTGCTTTAAAATCTGTAACATTGAAAACAGTAAAATAATCAACAAATTAGCAAAAAAGTTGAAAATTGTTAATTATACTAAATTTTGATATAATGCAGATACATCTGGGAATCTATTCAAATTTTTTACAGAATTTGCATTTTTTTTTAATTTTGTTAATAAGTATATCAATAATTTAAAGCATAATACACTCTTATAAACAAGTATTATCACACTTTTTCTATTAAATAATAGGATAGCATAATACCTTTAATTAAACAGGGTGAGTCTGAAATAAGTGCAAATATTTTTAGGGACGGCAAATTTCGACCGCAGAAACATGATTTATGAGTTTTTTTCGCGAAAAAAACAATTTTGAAAATCTTGAAAAAAAATTTAGAATTTTTTTAAGTTAAAAACCATAATTTCTTGATAATAGTGCAACATAGATAGTAGATTAAATTTACGAGAAAGAAACCCCAGAAAAGATCAAGTGGTTCTCAAAATCTAAGCAAAAAATAATTTTTTGGAAATTTTCAAAATAAATAATTCGGTTATTTTTGACTTATTTGAGAAACGGTAAAGAAAAAATATGTTTCTTTTATCAAGATCTACCAGCCCTGAAAATATTTGCACTTATTTAACACTCACCTTCTATAAATTTCATTCAGGCATAGCAAATTATTTTTTCGACATCATTTAATTAAAAAAAAAATGTTTCTCCATCATTGGATCATTTCTCCATTATTTATTTGTTTAATATATCTGATTTGGGTGTTAACAATGTAGCAAAATAGTTTAACAACAATCGGACAACAATATTATCAACAAATTGCTATTTTAGTCAATTCATTTTTCAAACAATAGTTTTACCGCTTTTTGTTTTTAAAAGAATAATACTGGGTCTGTAAGATATGCAACCCATAATACAGCACAGAACTTTTTTATGTATTTTAATTACTGCTTGAAACTTATATTAGATGCTTTCAATAATAACTAAAAGCTTTTCAAAATTCTATTCTAGGAAATTTATCTATAAATAGTCATATTATGTACTAATTATTACATTGATTAACATTTTTCGTTATATACAGGGTAAATCAACGATAAAGTCCATTAGGTATGTATCTCGTTTGTTTCGGGGTTTACAAAAAATATTAAATATAAAAGTTATAGGGAAGATTAAAGTTCATATTTTAAAATTATTACAGAGTATACAGGGTGCTTCAAAAAAGTGTGGCGGATATAACATGTTTTTTTTTTAAATACAAGACCCTATTTTTTATTTTATTTTTAGATTCTGCGTAAAATTCTATAACTTTTTTTATATAATCTTATATACCTAAAATTTATAATATTTGGATTTGTTTAAAAATTGCCAGTGATGCCATTGTTTATGAAGTTGGACTACTAAAATTTGGTAGGAGAGTTTTATAGAGATGAAGAAAAAGATATATGTAAAGATATTTCAGTTAGATGCTACAGGGTGTTCAAAATATATTTATGAATTTCAACTACTTAAAATTAAGAAATGTCAATTTTTTTAAATGTCACACCCTATATATATATTATTATTTTTTCTGATAGATTTTACAAAACTCTTCAACTCTGTATGCACAAGCTCTGTGTACCCTATACTAATTTTAAAATGTGTATTTTAACTTTTTCTATAACTTTTATGTTACTTTTTTTGTATACCATGAAACAAATGAAATAATGGACTTTATCGTTGACGCACCCTGTACAAACATTATAAGCGCCTTAAATATCTATAAATAAAATTCATAATAATTTTAATGTTGATAACTCATTAAACAAAACTATTATTATTCATTAAAATTGATTTTATTTCTATTAATCTGTAGATATATAAAAATAATTCAATAAATATACTATTTTAAACAAACCACTTGCTTATTAAATTACAAAAAATACTGTTAGAATTGCGTTAGTTTATAATAATACTGTATGTAAATATACAATACTGATTTTTTAAATTCACTTTCACACAGTCATTATAGGAATATCCCTAGTAATTAACAATTTCTTAAAAATATATTTTGTTTGGACTAGAAAAAAGCTTTGGTAAAATGTATACAATAATAAATATTTTATATAAAATCGCATATATATATGAGTATAAAAAACTTTTTTTTGTGTAAATACTGACGTTCTTAACATTAACAATCCCTATGCAAGCTTAATTAATGTAAAAAATTGCACTTTTTAAAAAACAATCTCATATTATAATACTGATAATATATATGTAGGTCTTATGTACTAGTTTGTATAAATTATTTAAAAATATATCATCAAACAACTCCACAAAAAAGAAATAAATAAAGCTGGTAAATAATTTTTTTGAGAAGCACCTTTGGATTTAGTTTTTTGATTATTTGACACTAACACAGAATTTTTAACTTCATTTTGTTGTACGGAATTTTTGTTTTTTTCAGTCGAAGAACTGGAGACGGTCCTGTCTTTTGATGTACTTTCTTGATTCTCCGTGATGTCATTATTACCACTACCTTCTAAGAATTCTAAAATACTTATACTTTAGTATATTTAAAAAAGAAATTATAATAAATTTAATCTACCTATTGGATCTTCATCCTCATCATCGGATGGACTGATTTTATTACAGTAGTCTTTGATACAGTAGCAATATTCCACAAAATTTGCTATAATACAGTCTTTGAATTGGTTGGGCTCGCATGATCTGCTTAAAATTCTATTTCCTTGTTCTAAAATAGTGTGAATTTATACGGGGAAAAAAATATTGAAACTTTTTTACTAACCACTCCTAGATATCTTACAACTTTTGTCGTTGTCACACTCTTTCTGATATCTTTTATCTTCAATTTCAAATTCAGTACAAGGCAGGTCATCTTCGTTTCCACAAACGTAACATTTTATGCAGGAAGTCGTATCCACTAAAAGATCTTTTTATAAAACACACACTATAAATGTATTTTTGAAACTCACCTAAGTAAAAGAGAATAAAAAATAACCTCACTATCTGTGAAAAATACCACCTTCCCATGTTAGTAGTGCGGTTCTTTCACGACTATTAGCTCTGACATAAGCTAATTTAAATAAATACTACAATTAATTAAAGCTGAAGACTGCGAAATTGCAGGAAATCCATAGAAAACGTCACTGTTGATCTCTTGGGAAGAGGCAAGGGGGACATTATTGCAAACAGATCAATACAACTCGCATCGTTTCGGCACAAACGCCTCAAAAAGGCGACACATAAATTTATATTAATTATTTCACGTGGATTAGTCGTTCGCCATATCGATAAAAGGTATTTAAACGCGCTCAAGTGTTGTGTAATTACGTAATTTGATGCATATTTGATGTTTTTATAACTCGATTCTTGTTGACAAATTTTTTGACAATTATCGATCTACTAACAGGAATCTTCAGAATTGTTGTTCTCATATCGACTGATAGAGGGCGCCATATATATTAGTACATATTAAAATGTCTAGATGTCGCTTAAGTCGAAATATATTTGAGAAGATATCTTGAAAATTAAACTTCCTCTATTGTCCAATAGAGGACACTACAACAATAAGTACCTCTCATATTAAATAGAGGTCGCATCTAAAATAATAGATTTCTCTATCAGCAACGTTTCTCTATCTCTAAAGAGAGGGCGCCACACGTTTTAGTACGACTTGCTATAGATAGATGTCGCCATTATAAAAAAATAAGGCTGTGTTTAACTGGTTGCCTGTATATGATTGTCATAAATTACTCTTTTGATTTAAATTTTTATCTAATTACTAATCAATTTTGCCTAAATTATTCGGTTCGCGATTCCAAGGTTGTTATAAAATTAATAATACTCATTATACCTAATATAGTTTATAAAAAGCTTTTAAATCTGTTTCGACTTATTTTAAAAAATACAGCAAATTGCATTTTAAATAACGAAGTTTTTATGTAAAATAAATATCTAAAATAGAGCAGCAATTTTTGATACCCCTGTATACATTAAAGGAAGCAATCAAAGTTTTCAGTAAAGTTTATTTCCCTGGCTTAAAAGTCGGCACAAGAATTAATTTTGAAAAATAATGTACAGGGTGTTGATAATCTTTTTTATTATAGCATGCATATTTAAATATCTTTAAATATCTCAAAAACCAAAGCTTGTAAACGTATTTAACCCTTATAATAAATACCTTATTTTGTGTCCAAGGGCCCAAATATGAAATATAATACCGGGTATTCCATAAGAAAAAATACAACTTTGATGTGGATCTTATTTCTGACATACCCTGTACATTTTAAAATAGTTTTGAACTGTGCCCTTTGCCTTCCCACATATACCCATAAAGTATTTTGTTTCTACATCTTTCCGTTTTCGTATAATCAACCGAGGCGATTGAGATGCGCCATCCTATATATTAAAAGGTTAAATAAAAAAATACATACTTATAATTAGAGGATTTATTTGGTTCTTGGCTTATATTACAATCTATATTTAAACGTTTTTTGTACAATAATTTAATAAATACTTCGTATAAAAAAATCTTCCGCTCATTTTCAATACAATACCTATTTTTTCTTAAACATTACAAAATTAGAATAATATTCGCTTTATTTTGTACCAATACGATTTTCGAAAATCTGTTTTAACAATTCTTTAACAAATTGCTTTAGGCTGTTTTCTCTTTGCGTTCCCACATCGATCACTTCTTCGTGACTTGGTTTAGCTAACGATTCATATTCGACGATGCACTCGTTCGTGATGAGGCTAAATACGAAAACGGTCATATCACAGTGATTGGCGGTGATTACTTCGTGAACGGTGGACATTCCAACAGCATCAGCGCCTATAAAATGGATATAGTTAGTGTATCACACGGTATTACATTACAACATTTTACAAAAAAAAACAAATTCTCCGATTAACTGAACTTATTTCAAATCAGAAAATCGCCCGGTTTATATACAGGGTGTGTCTTAAATAAGTGTACATATTTTCAGGGCTGGTAGATCTTCATAAAAGAAACATATTTATTATTTTTTCTTTGCGTCGTTTTTATAAGTCCAAAATAGCCGAGTTATACAGGGTGGACCGAATTGAATCTGGGAAACTTCGGCAGCATATTCTGCAGATAAAAACAAGAAAAGAAGGTTGTATAAATGTATGTCCTAGAATATGTTTAGTTTGGAAAATACAGGGTGTAAAAGTTTCATTTTTATTTCGATTTTTTCCAAATAATTTCTGAAGGACGTCAATATTTGTAAGAAAATTGGTATCTAGGAGTTTTTTGACAGGCGAAATTTAATTTTGAAGCCAATATGACTCATACTTGTAGAGGGCGCCACCTATATATCATATATTTTAACTGGTTTGAAGTTTGAAGAGTAATAACTTTTCGTCTGTACCTGTATAAAACTGTTGAGTAAAAAAATACACATTTACGAGATATTCTACGTAAAAAAGTACCTATATTGGTAAAAATCGCTACGAATAATGCTTCTCGAGATATCTGGAATCAAAATTATGAATACCAGTCAACATTGACACGAACTAAACATGTTGACTACAGTAGCGGATTAAGACATATTTGCGCTCTAGGCTAATAAAAAATTATTGGCGCCCCCCCCCCTCCCGGAATTTTATTCTTAAACAATTTATTGTTATTGAGGAGTAGCTATACGCGCTGACTAATATGAATTAATTCATCCCAATTTTGTTGTTATAACCTTACCAACAAAGATTCAGTTAAATTAAAGTAATCTATAAGGGTTGATTTTCCTAATTATTATTTCTTAGATATGAAAAATACTCCACTGTGCGCCGGCGGTCTTTTTCGTTTACGGCACTTTGTCGATAAATACCAAAGGATTATCGCGACAATGGCAATTTTTGATCCAATTATTTATGTGTTTTGTTTTTAAAGAAATACCATACCATTGTTATCCAAATATCGACTATACATAGTTCAGAATTTATTTGGTAGAAACCGAAATAAAAATGAAATTTCTACACCCTGTGTCTCCGAAATGAAGCAGTTTAGGACATACATTTTTATAAACTTATTTACTTATTTTTATCTGCAGAATATGCTGATGTATTCAAATGAATGTAATGAATCAATGTATTCAAAAATACGTTTTCAAAAAATAAAATATGTCCACTTACTTAAGACTCGTCCTGTATACATCTACTTTAACAAAATGTATTTTATGTTTTGCTGGCTTTTCTGTTTATATACGCCATTTTAGAAAAAATTATGTAATTGTTTTTCAATGGAATAGTTTTTTGTTAATTGTCAACGATTGCCAATATATAATGGTTTAATAATCAATCGTTACAAAGTCATGAGGTTAATCGAGAAATGATAAAAAAATTATTGATGTACCATTTAGATTAATTAAATACGTAATATTAACATCGCAACAGAATAATAATAAATAAATATGTAGAATCTATTTTTTTGAGTATTTTGATTGCAAAATTTTCTTTGGAATTAACCTAAGTATTCTTCAAATAATTTAAACAAAATATTCCTTAAAAATTATATTAAATCACAGGGGAAAGTCTCCTATACCACTGATGGCGATGATTGGTGTTACAACAGCAAAATAAAACACTAATTCACCAAACTACACCAAAACACATTCACACACATCATCAGCGGATGATTAAAACTAAGTTTTAATGATCAACCAGTTTTAATCATCTGATAACATGATGTTAACATCGTTAGCGAAACGCGCGTCCAATGCAAAGGTAAAGTGCTTTGGTATACTGTAGTGATGTAGTGTTACTATTGCTTTTGTGTCAATGCCAGTACTTGAAAAATACAAATAAAATATAAATTAAAAAATCTAAATAAGCCCGCGTAAACAAACAAATAGTTGCCTAGCAATCGTGGACCAGTTAAAAATCTTGCCTGGGTCAGTGTCTGACCCATGGGTCATAGGTTCGCACCAACTGTGGTACCGTTAATCCATATTCTCCGTCCGCCAAGTACAGGAAAAAGTAAAGGAGCAGCAGAGTAAACTTTATGTTGCATTCATCGACCTAACAAAAGCCTTTGACTCTGTAAACAGAGATGCACTTTGGGCAATTATGCAATAATTCGGCGTGCCCAACAAATTTCTTACAGTGCGTAAAAGCCTCTATAACAACAAGTCAAGAGTGTCACATCATGAATTACTGAGCGATCCCTTCCTAACAAATACAGGAGTTAGGCAGGGATGTGCCTTAGCGCCTCTCCTATTCAATATATTCAAGATAACGCTCTCCATTATAGTGGACAGTAAACTGCAAGAAAGAGGAATGGGCATTAGATACAGATACGACGGCGGTCTGTTCAACATAAAAAGACTCAGGGCAAAAACACGTACAAAATTCATCACAGAACTTCAATACGCTGATGACTGCGCTTTAGTTGCAAAAACCTTACAGCAATTACAAGAAAGGTTTAACACATATATCTGGGCATACGAGGCTTTGGGCCTTAAGCTGAACATCGATAAAACTAAAATCATGTGCACTCTCTCGGAAAATCACAACAATGCTATAAAAATCGAAGAAGAACTATTAGAATATGTAGCGGAATTCAATTACCTCGGCAGTTTGATTTCGGAAAAGCCAATATCGACTCTGCAATTCAGCACAGAATTAGCAGCGCCTCAAGAGCATTTTGGAAATTAAAAAGCAGGGTTTTCTACAATCATGACTTGAGCAAAAAAACGAAACTTGCAGTGTACAACAATAATAATCCCCACCATGTTATATGGAAGCGAAACCTAGGTGTCGTACCGCCGGCACATGAACGCATTAAACTAGTTGCAACAGGGACACCAGGTGGATGACACTTCTTATGGGAGAACTGGCAATGGTTGAAAACTTGACTACAAGCGATTTTCTAGGAATCTTCCTTACCGATAAATTATTGACAAGAGTGACAGATAAAGCCTTGACGTTCTTTCAGTATTCCAGTTCATCTCTTTTTCTTTCTAAAGTGTGCGTTGAAAGGAGACAAAAATAATTTTTGGTGACCCATAATTTGTTATTCGAACACCACTTTTCTCCTTTTCGGGTCGTTGACGTTGACTTGTCGCCATTTTATTTCTTTTGTTTACACGCTGCATTTTGCTTTGCAAATTTAATACATAAATTATTTAGGCAAATATAGGTTTTTAATAAAACTCCTCGGACTAACGTGCAGGTAAGTGTTGATAATTTTTTTTTCATCTTAACATGCTCATTGTCGTTCTCCTGATTTTAGGTGACAGAAAAGTATCATCAAATCAAAATGAATTTTATATTTTCCTTCCTATTTATCCTTCCTAAATATCAACGAGATGAGCCATCGGAAGAAAGGGACCATAGTACAAAACAGAAAGGTGATCTTTTTTCTTTCCACTTAGGATATTGAAATTATTATATACTGTAGTCGCGTTCGGCATTATGCTCTGAGAAATATAGATAAACAAAGAACAACAGATATAAAGCATCCCAGAGGAAAAGAGATGCAATACCTGTATGTACTCTCTCTGATATTTGTGAAAGTTACAGCAAAGTATTGTTGTAAATGTCATCTTTTTGATCGACCTGAAAACTTCGAGCAAAAAGATGACACTTTCAACAATACCCTGACAGATATCAGAGACGATACAGGTTTTTTCTCCCTTTTCCCCTGGAATACTTTTAATTTATTATTCTTTGTTTATCTAGATTTCTCAGAGCACTATGAACAAACTCAGCTTGTATGTTTGAAATAATCGTCCAGTTGGCTTAAAAATGATGATCGAAGACATTTCCCATATAATTTTACTTTCAAAATTGTGATATATCTTTTATTTCTAAGCCATCTATGACGCCATATTTTTCAGTTTTGTTATAATTAATTTTGTCTCTTGATCTACTTGTAATATTATTCTTTTAATTTTATTAATTTATTGTGGTGAAATTAATTTCTGTTGTATATTTGATATTGATATTAAACATATTTTTAAAAAACGGTGTATTTTTTGTGTTTTTGTGTATGTCATAATTAAAAATAAATGAAGAAATAAAAAATTTTATTTTTTTAAATTTCCCGCCATGCGTGTCAATTTAGTCCGTAGTTCCTACAAGCGAAATTGGGGGCGCTAGTAGCAGTAGACTTGTCAACAGTGTCAAATTTAAACGTCAATTTCACTTTCCAATATTTAGCAAGGCGCTCGCACTTCTTCTTCTGTATGTGTTTTGTGAGGGACACCTTAGACAACTCTTAAGAATCAAAGGATTCCACTATGTCTCAAACGTATCGGTGCTTGAAAAAGTTAGTGGACAACTCAAAAGGTATCAGGATATTTTCCACGAAAACTTAAAGGGGATAAGCATGCAGAACCAGTGGGGGGAAGCAGCGAACAGTAGAACACATTGGAGAAGAATCGTAAACTCAGTTAACAACAACAATCCAAAAGTAGAGGCAACAAAGTAATGAGATTTTTGAATGTCCGGATTGCGGAAGAGAGATAACATCACGTATCGGGCTTTTCAGTTACAGAAAAGCTCAGCGAGTAATGGCAGTAAGTAAGTAAGACTATTAAGTAAGTAAGTAAGACTAGTAAGACTACTAAGTAAGTAAGTAAGACTATTCTCCTTACTTACCCAACATTTGTAGCATCCTCAGCTCAGCCACCGTCTCGAAATTAGGTCCTCCCAGGCAAGTGTACACTCCTTCATGCACTCTATCGCCTAAACCTATGTCTTTGGCCACTTTATTGGCTAACTTGATGATTTCTCTGTTGTAGGCTTGGTTCATTGGCGGGAACCTCGGTCCAAACCGTTCGTCGTTCGGTCCTTGTAGGGGGTTGTTGCCCGCGAAGCCCATCAGGTTGATGTGGTCCTTCACGAACATGATATCCCCTACTCTGAATGATGGGTTCAAACCTCCAGCGGCGTTTGTTATAAATAAATGACTCACACCTGTATAGAAAAAAGAAATATGTAGAAAATTAGAAAATAACAACTTTAAAAACCTGCAACTAACAAACATTAAGACTAGTTAAAGGTTGTACAGTAGGGTGAGCCAAAAAAAACTAACACATGGAATTTATGGGTTAAAATGAACCAAAAAACCGAGAATATAATATTCCCGGAAGGCCAGATTTTTAGCTCACTTTTAATAGGTTTCGGTGGACCATTCAAAGTTTTTCATTTAAATAACACGTAAAAAATCTTTTTTCATTAAAAGTACCATAACTTCGAAACGGTTTACAATAAAAATATTTACATCGCGGATTCGTGTAGAGCATAAAATTTACTAAAAAATATACAGTACGTCTGTCCGTTCTGAGGCTACGGGGTATCTGTGAGAGGGGAAACGATATTCTCTCGATGTTTTTCCTAAAAAATTAGACGACGCGTCCCATCAATAAAAATTCGACAAATTTGCAAGTAGCCAATAAAATGAGTGGGCGGAGCGATTTGCGGTGACGTACTCGTCAAGTCGACGTATAAAATATATTGCTGTTTATTTAAATGTTTTTTGGGTCGGCATTTACATGTGTGGAAGTAAATCGCATAGGGATCTTATTAAGTCGGAGTGAGAGAAATGCGACCAACCGACGCGACGCGCGACGGTTTGCTGTTGCGGCGTTGCCGATACGCCTTTCCTTATCAAGTAAAGTAAAATCACGATCGCAAACCGCTTATTTTTAAAAGACTTCTTTTTCAAGAGATAACTAGATAACATCATTAGACATGTTTCTGAGTATCTGAAATGTAATTATAAGGATATCGTTAGGGTGTCATTTTTTATAACGAGAAAACATCAGTAATCGCGATAATTTAAAAATTCAACTTTTTAACACATAACAGGCCATAACTCAAGAACCACTTTAGATATTGAAACTTTTTTTATTTTCAAGATCGGATATTTTACAATATGTTTACATAAGAAAAATTAGATAAGGTTGTTTTTTCCATTCAAAAATTGTAAACAATCCATCCATTTACTTTTAGAGCATAGCAATTTTCAGCAATCGTGTAATTTTTTTATTGATAAAGATTTTCACATACTGTCTTATAAGTATATATATTTATATATATATTATATAATAGAATGAGACTTAAAATTTTTAAAACTTTTTTGATAGCATCTTGGTGAACATTACAAAGCACAACTTTGGCCCAATTTAACCGTGTTCGTTGCGGTTTCCGAGAAACCAATGCTGGTACCTCGAATTTGTAGCACCCTGTATAGGGCTCTTCTGTTTGATTATTTTTCTAATGTTCCTCTATCCACTTACCAAGTAGTTTCATAATTCTAATAGGCATACAACATTTCCACAACGGATAGCCCTCGTAGTAATGGAACCGCCCCTTCATGCACACAGTTGGCAGCCCTGACATGAACCCGAAAACCAGCGCCCCCACGTGTCCTTTAACGGTACTTCTGGGAAAGTGCGGAATGCAGTCGTAGGATATTTCTATGGGATTGTCCAAACACTCCGCCAACGAGCCTGTAAAATGGTCAATTTCTGCAAGTTAGAACGAATTAATTTGTCGTTTTTGTTTGTCAGGTTTTTTGACAGACAAGTGTCTTCTTACCTAGACCGGACCCGCATATGACACCGACTTCCGGTAGATATGGTACTTTGGATCGCAAGAATTCAACGGTTTCTTGTAAAGATTCGTAGGTATATCTGTAAAAAAGTTTTATTTAGAAAAATTTGTATTTTTTCTAAGTTACATACTTTTCACAATTTTTATGTCATTTTTTTCAAACTGTCATCAATTTTCATGTCAAGGACCACGGTGCCCAACTTTTTTTTCAATCGTACAGTATAAACATTCAAGTAGTATTTCAGTTTTACAGGGTGGCGCCTCTCATAGGACGCGGAGGCTCCAAGGAGAACGAGTTTATTGTATTGAAATGAAATTTTGGGAGCATATGTAGGCTAATTTAGAGCATTTTTTTAAAATATAGAGAGTTTTACAGGGTGTCCCCAAAAAAAGTTATACATCAAAGTTGTCTGTAATGATATATATTAAATTATTTTTGGAACTTTTTAAAATTAGGTTTTTTGTAATTATCTTAAACAATATTATTTTTTTATTTGAAATTGCTGTAAGTTAGACTAATAGTAATAATAACTAATAGTAATAAAATTTAATAATAAATTAGGTAAAATATATAATTTATTAATTTTATTTTAATTTTAATTTTATTAATTGTGATTAATAAAATTGCGTTTATCTCATCAAGGAAGCCGAATTCGATAAAATATCAAGAGATAACATTTAATTGGCATTAAACGACCTACACAATTTTGATATCAAAAGAAAAAAGGCAGTGGCGCAGATGTTTTTTTTAAAAATATTCCAGTGGTAACCCATATGCACGTCACTGATGGATTTTTCGAAATTTTTAAAGCATTAAAATATGTAGCACTTATAGTTACTTTTTCCCTCAAAATTTTATTCGAATCAGTAAAAGTACTTGCAAGAAAATTATAATAAATCGAAAGATTATTAATACTTTAACACCCTGTAGCTATGAAACAAAGCACGTGAGGAATCTCCCTACGAAAGATGGCACATGTTTTTTGAAACACCCTGTATAAGATGTAAAAAAATTATCAGTTTGTGCTATATGCTAAATAATAATTAGTCGTAATTAAAAATCACGTTTTTTGATAAATGTGAATAACAATTTGTAACGTTTTGTTTATATTTATATGAAATATGTGTTTTAACAAGTCATTACGTTGCAAAATACTTTAACCAAATTATATTTATAGAAATAGAAAAAGTCTCTTATACCATCCTGATCACTTCAACTGCGTGGTCTGTATTTTAAGATGCATGCGATAGAGATAAATATAAATGACCGGTTGACAGAGAGAGGACAAAATAAAAAGCGGTTTTTACGTTTGTAGAAAAATGTGTGCAGAAAAAAATAAATTATTTCAAAAACTTTCACGTGTACTACTGAAATGAAGATAATATATCTAAGCTAAATATAATCTATTACAGCTATAGTAAAATTAGTAACTAATTGTAAAAAATAAAGTTCCAACCCTAGATGCAACATTTTTCGTAAACGCCTACTTGTGCGGTTTGAAATGTCGATGCAAAATTCGGCAATACCGCATAGAAAAAATGTATCAGCCTAATTTTTATCTCTTTTTAATATATTTCAGCTGTCTACATCACTGCCTTACACGTTAAAATCTAGACCACGCAATTTCGATGACCAATTCGGTATGTAACTGGACCAGAACCGTTCTGCTTTCCAAGTGGTAACCAACTCAAGGCGGAACTCAGAACTTGGAAGATTCCATCCGCAACATGGAATGGAAATCTTGCAATGGTCTAAGACACTCGAAGAAGTTTCTGAGGGCTTATGATCAAGAAAAATCGCAGATCTTCCTGGGTCTGAGTAAGAACAATCTTCGGATTGTCACGGGGTTTTTAACAGGACACTGTCTCCTCAATGAACACCTCAGTAGATTGAAACTAAGAAGAAACGGCGAATGCAGATTCTGTGGGGAAGATGGGGAAACACCAGTACACCTCATCACTGAGTGCGCCGAGACGACAACCATTCGTGCCATGAATTTTGGTACGACTGATATTGGAGATGGAGAACTACCCTCTATAAAACCGTCCCAGATACTGGCTTTTGTCAAAGCCCTGGGACTGTATGATGAGTTATGATTCAAGAAAGGGGGACACAATGGATCTGTAAGGTCGAAGTGATTAACCCCCCTCCCACTCATTCAAAATTCTAAAAATAACCCCGTTACTAAATACTTGCTCACCCTGTATAATCCGAAAAAAATATTCACCTGATAAATAATTAAGGGTCAAAAGTTTTAATATTATACAGTCCTTATTTTGTTAAATAAAAATAAAATGAGGTATACCTAAAAATAAATAAGTCCAGATAACTAAAAAATAAAGCAACTTAAAAATATTTTATCAGAATAATGTCGGGCAGTATCGAAAAAAACGTAATAATAATAATATTTTTAAAAAGACCATGAATAGCTCCAATAATTAATTAGTTTTTCTAATCTAAATTTGCTCTCATTATCAAGTTATATTATTTTTTTGTTATTAAATAAGCAAATAAAATTTATGAGTGTCAATCTGTACTGCAATACTGCACTGCAGTGAAAAAAAATTTGTAAAATAAAGGTAAAAACGGTTAGGATTTTGAGTGAAAATATTCACATAACGACTTTTTGTTCTTTGATGTCTGTTATCTACTTTTCTTTCCATCTTTTTAGTAACAAAATTTTAAACAGCACTATCATTAAGTTCAACGGCGAAGGTTCCATTTGTAATACGTCTTAATTTAAAAAAAGTCACTGAGATCTCCTATAATAAATTAAGATTCTCAGTAAATTCTTAAAAACAATTCTATTTTGCTATTTTCTAGTTAAGGTTTAATGGTGTTGCGTTCTTAGGTACATTTTTTTACTTCATTCTATCGTTGATTGAATACTAAAATACTAAGTACTAATAATACTAATACTGCAAGGTTGTTACTACACTTTCACAGTCATAATAAACTATTCAGAAATAGTATATTATTACATATATTTTAATTTTTTGTTGTGTTATTATAATTTTATTTATACTATTTTCTTTAAAGCTGTATAATCTTTTTTATCACTTATGGCATTAATTTAATAATATATTATAAAAAATAATAAAGTAGGTATAGGTAATAATAACAATTTAACACGTTTTTATATCGCACATTTAGTGAGTTATCTCTGAATATCCTGTACAAGAGTTGACAATTTTTTTAAACGAGCCCACCCTTGATCTACCGGGTGCGTCTCAAAAGTGGCTCACCCCTATAACTTTTTTATTTTTTCAGATATAAAAATAAGATTTGGTATGTTTTATGACATAAATTAGGGATTGATTGATCACTTCCTGTTTCACCGGAAATAACAGCAACTTTTGATTTTTAAATGGCACCCTCGGTATTTTTTTACTTAATTCCATAGAAAATGACGCTCTGAATAGAATGACATATCATATGTCGACTTTTGAAATTTTCTCATATGGTTTACTTGAAATTGTAACATGCAGTTCATAACGTCAATTTGACTCGAAATATCAAGTGTGTGGTACCAAATTATTTGTAAAAAAATGCTTTTTCCAAATATGTAATTACCACCCTCAGACCAGGACAGGACACTAAAGACATTAGACGATCAAATCTATTTTTCCAAGACTATTAGTGTTTTAGAAAATTAGTGTTTTTAAAACGACCATGGCACTCTAGATTGAAATTTAAAATACGATTTTTTTAAAGCGAAAACGTCAAAAGTTGACATGTGATATGTCATTACATACATTTTCTATCGAATAAAGTAAAAAAATACCGAGGATGTCATTTAAAAATCAAAACTTGTAGTCATTTGACCAAAAACAATTGAATACGTTAATCAATCCTAATTTATGTCACATACTCACAACCAAATATCGTTTTTTTATCTGAAAAAATAAAAACGTTATAGAGGTGAGCCACTTTTGAGACGCACCCGGTATATTAAGTAGGGTGATGCTAGGGCATATGCTAGGGTGTTAAGACTCACTAACAGAGGCACAGCGTAAAGTCCGCCCAACTAGTCAAGAAAAATTTCGACAGACTACATAAAAAAATGACATCAGTTATTAAAAATACTAATATAATATGTTTGGTCAAAATACCATTTTGACACCTACCTATGGCCTATTTCGGGATGAAATACATCCTTATGAACATGGGCGTCTCCATTAATAGTTCCGTTGGTTATTTTTGCACCACCGTGGCCATTCATGAACTTTAAAGTGGACATTTCTACGAAAAAATCACTTAAAAAAAAATAGTTTCTTATCGATCTTGCAAGCACTGTCAGGACTAAACAGTAGATCAGCGACTACCGATTCTTATATAGGCTCCCGATTAAGTAAAAGTCTAACAAAAACAAATAATAATATTGTAAGAAAGATAACAGTCCACATCTTAGTTAGTGTATTATTACATTCTGTTTTGATTTCAGAACTTATTTCATGTTGCTCAACTCCTTGAACAAAAATTATTAACGTAGCCAATGTGACATACACTCAAAAAAATTGTATTTCTACAAACGCCAAGTTTTTTTACGTCTAAAATGTCATTCCTAGGACCTATTCTAGTGTGAAAATTAGATACTAAAAAGAAAGTTTTATATGATGTATGTTCTCTTACTGGTACTACTTCTCTAACTATCGCGCTTAGAGATACTCATAAGACTTTTTTGTCGCGCTCAAAAAAAAAAAATAATTATTATTATTTTTTTGGTAAATTAAATCCCATTGAATTCGTCTGGCAATTAACACATATTTTTTAATATCATCTAATAAACACGCTGTAAAAATTTTAGAATGCCTAAAGTATGTTTTCCAGGTATAATAATTAAACATATTTGGAATGGTCTGGTTACACTTTAAACCCGAAAAAAGTCTGGCACACTTATTTCTAGGTTAAATAGATGCTAAGGGTAGAATAAGCATTTATACCCCCAAACCCCAGCCAGACTTAGGATTCTGGGTTCTAAATTATTAAACTTTATTTTTTTTTTTGTATTCTAACATGCCTAAAATATGTTTTCTAAATATGTCGCCAGCTCTCCGGCTACTACTTTTTGGTTGTTGTTGTTAACTGAGTTTACAATTCTTCTCCATTGCGTTGCTTCTTCCCACTCATTCTCCATGTTTATCAACTTTAAGTTGTCATAGAAAACATCATTGTACCTTTTGAGTTGTCCAACTGGTTTCCTCTTATCGTCTACAAGCGCACCGTAAAGAAGAGATTTTGGTGGGCGGTTTTCTTCCATCCTGCATACGTGACCAGCCCATCTTAGTCGGGATTTTTTAATCATGACTTCAATACTCTCGCAGTTAGCTTTTTCAAGAACTGATGCGTTGAGACATGATGGAACCATTTGATGATTAAGAGTTGTCGATCCCTATTTGCATTTGTTTAATGCGTTCATGTGTCGGCGTACGGCACCCAGGTTTCCCTTCCATATAACATGGTGGGAATTATTATTGCTCCATTTTACGCAAGTTTCGTTTTGTTAACGAAGTCATGGTGAAAACCCTGTCAATTTCCAGAATGCTCTTGAGGCGCTGGTAATCCTGTGCTGAATTTCAGGGTCGATATTGGCTTTTCAAAATTAAACTGCCGAAGTAATTGAATTCCGCAACCAGTTCTTCGATTTTTATAGCAATGTTGTCATCGCACATGCTTTTAGTTTTATCGATGTTCAGCTTAAGTCCCAAAGCCTCATGTGTTCAACATTTCTTGGAATTGCTGTAACGTATTTGTAACTAGAGCACAGTCATCAGCGCCAGCGTAAGTCCATTGCGCTACACCGCTCGAATTCGGTCTCGAGGGGGGTCGGGTAGAGCGGGTGTGCTGTGGAGGGCGGTCCGTTCACGATCCCCCACCGCCTGATTTTTGGTCGGACCATTCAGTGTAAAATCACGTGAATATTTCATATTTCCAGTGAATTAAAACGATATCAAAAATGTGTCAAAATTTTTTTGGAGGTATAACTACATGATATATACAGGATTATCCGGACTGGGCCTTTGTGCATGTGGAAATAACTAATTACGACTTTTGGGGTAATAGAAATTTCGCAACTAACAAAATGTCAAAAATGTGTAACCATGTTTTTTTATCTTTCCTACTTGCGATAACTCCTCGATAATCAACTTGTTCACAAACTCTTTTTTTAATCGATTAAACACATAGGCCGGTGATGGCTGAGGTAATTAAATTCACATAGTGAGTGTATTTTTTTTGGAAAATGGATTAAACTTCAAACTTGATACTTTTTGTATCATGATTTTCGGTAAGCAGCTTTTTATTTGAAGATTTTTACATAGTTATCTGCGTATGAAATAAAGTAAAATATTGAAAAGTTTGAGGAAAGAAAACTTGAATTTTTCAGTTTTCTTAATTCTGAAATATACTTTTCTTGTTATCTAAGTCAGTTTACGAATGGGCCGCGCGCGAGACCACTCTTCCGTAGGCCTAAAAGCAAAGCGGACACTGATTTTATATGGCGACACGGCGGACGCGATGTTCCGTAGGCCTATTTCTGATTATTTTATTGTACCTGCAGTTTGAAATTTAGTTAAATCAGTACGTTACCAAATTATTTAGTTATCGACTCTTTAATTTTACCGACTTCATAAACAAAATGATCAAGTTTTTTTCAAATCACAATATTATAACGAAGAACCTAAAACTATCGCAATCATAAATCTTTGGAAAAAGAAAACTTAGAAATGATGTATGCTTAATATATTAATTAATAATTTATTTATATATGTTATATTAACAATTATTAATATATTATATTAACAAAAACTAATTAGTTAAATAGAACGGTTTTGATATTATAATATTTTTGAGTATGTGTGATACAAAAATAGGAAAAAAGAAGAGGCAAAACATCATAAATTAACATCTAGACAAACAGGTATCTTATGTTGTAACCTATTTTTAATAAGATTTTTTTTTAATAAATTCATTTGATAATAAAATTGATATGATCGCTTAAATTCCATAGTCAGTATTTTTTTTTTGCTTAATAGAGCTGGATAATTTATCATAAACCAGAATAATTATAAAAATAAAAAAAAAAAAAAACAAATAAATATAAAAATAATAATAATAATAATAAACTATAATTCATTGCCACATAAATAATTCTATATAATTCTACAGAATGTCCCCGGATTTGTGGAAAAACAAATTGTAAAAAAAAAAAAAAAAAAATGTTTGAAAAAATGTATTCTTCATAAAAATTTTAAAAAAAAACCTTTTTTTTTTTTTATTGAAAAAATAAGTTTGCTTTTATTATATACTTTTCCAAGTTTCCATGCTGGATTTTGTATATTGTTGAACTTTTTCAGTCTTAAATCAAGGGGCGTTTCTGTAATTTAATATAATTTCGATTATATATTCTTTGATGAACTTGGTTATTAATGGCAATAGTATTGTTTTTATTATATGTAAATTTATATATATGCATGGGAAATATTGTTGATCGTCATTTCTCAGTCAACTGGACGCCGTTTTTTTCGATCATACGGTAGCGCATATTATGTATTTCAATAAAAAGCGACAATAGCAGGCAACAATGTTTTCGATCTAGCGTGGTTTAATGACAAAAGGGGCTCCCTGTAATCCTTTTACCTGTTCAAATTAATTGATTAATATGTGGTGAGACAGAGTCGCTGATTCTGCTTTATTTAATTATTTTTCATATTTTATTGCAACGAATGAAAATCATGATTTACACAAGAAGAAACACAGATTTAATTTAAATTTTTTAAAAACTCAAACAAAATTTAAAATGTCATATGTCAAATAGAAAAAAAAAAAAGAATATTACAGTCGAAAGTGATAAAATATCAATTTTAAAGAAAAAATCTCAATGCAATCAGTAATATTTGCCATGACTACCAACATAAAGGTTTTTTAATCTGCCAATTCGTTTATTTAATCAGAAGAGTATATAAAGGAGTTTCAAAAAAAAAAGAATTTTATTCATTTCCGATAAAAACAAATTGAAATAAAATTCTCCAGCTTTGGCAACATTTGACTTTCAAAAGAAATTTTGATATATTTTAATTTTCTACGCCGGGTGCGTCTCAAAAGTGACTCACCTATAACTTTTTTTTTTTTTTTTTTTAGGATTTTTTTTGAGATTTGGTATGTTAGTATATGACATAAATTAGGATTGATTGACGTGTTAATTGTTTTTGGTCTTCTTTGTTCTGGAAATGACTTCACTTTTGAGATTCTAAATACTCTTTTTAGTATTTGTTTACTATATTCGATGAAAAGAAAATGATGACATTCTGAATATAATGACATATCACATATATCATATGTCAACTTTTGAAATTTTTTTTTTTTTTTTTTTTTTTTTTTTTTTTAAATTTCAATCAAGTAGCCTTGGGAAAATAGATTTGATTGTCTAATGTTTTTAATTGTATTGTCCTGGCCGGATTGAAAATGCTCAAATCGTATTTTTAATCATATCTCAATTTTTTCAAATGGGAACGAGAGGTGGCTAATTGGCATATTTGGGAAAAGCATTTTTACGAATAATTTGATACCAAACACTTGCTACTTCGAACCAAGCTGTCGTTATGAACGCATGTTATAATTTCCTTTATAATTTCAAATAATCCATATGCAGAAAATGTCAAAGTTGACATATGATATGTCATTCTATTCAGAGTGTCATTTTCTATATCGAATAAAGTAAAAAAAATACCGAAAAACTAAATATGCCATCGGTTTGCTTAAATAGAACAAGTAACGCGAAGTAATTTACGCGAAACTGACGATATGACCACAGACAACAAATTGCAGAGCTTCACAATTCAGCATAAAAATATTTGTTAAAAATAGAATTAAATATAACTGTAATCAGAAAACCTTAATTTATGTCTGTATTGTAACGGAATTTTTAACTAATGCTCTTTCTAATATAGACATGTCTTCAAACCTTATGTTTTTAAATGACATTATTTAGACTATATGTGGGGTCCGATTAATTTTGAAGAAAAAATATTAAACCCTGAACTTAAATTGAAAATTTATTTTTTAAATTATGTAAAAAAAAAAAAAAAAAAAAAAAAAATATTAAATTTATTTCAATCAATATTTTTTAGAGTATAATAAATACAACTTTGTTTGACCATCAAAATCCCAAAAATGGTAGATAACAACCTTTTCTCAGACCTATTGAATAGACATATAAAATTAAATCAAAATCGGTCAAGCCGTTACGGAGAAGTCTGGAGAAGTATGGTAACAAAAATTAAAAACAACCTATTTGCAAGAGTGAAAGTTGGTGTCGTAATGTGCTTTTTATGCCCATCGTAAAAAAACAAAAGTTAAATATTTTACCTAAAAAAGAAAAAAAAAAAGATGGAAAAAAAAACTACTACTAATAAATATATA